GAAAAAGCTCTTTAATTAATTTCTACAATCAAGCGAATTAATATTAAAAGCAATTTTCATTCATTCGATAGTAATCTAAAAATAAAATTTGTGTATTTATTCTAAGTAAGCATTCAAAAGTTTGACAATTTGACTTAATTTATTCTTTTCTAATAAATCAAGATGAGAGTTGTAGCAATCAAATTAATTCTTTTGCTTCTTACTCTAATTCTTAACAACAATTACAAATTAAAAGAAACTAGAAAGCATGCATACCATCTCAAAATAATTCAATAAGTTTCAATAACAATTAATAGCATAATTTTGAAGGAAAAAAAACTTGAATTTGAAAGAATTACAATGATAACATTATTTCTCACAACTTGCTAATGAAAATGGTATGGATCCTTCTCAAATCGAATTCAAAAGTTTAGCTTATAGTTGCTGGATAATTGACAAAAACAAAGAAAAAAGGAATGTTTTTTCAAATCTTGTTTCAGCTGTGTTTTGCTCTATTTATCATCTCCTTTGGCTACTGATTGATACTTAAAAGTGTATTTTTATCAAGGTTTTATATCATCATTTTGCACTTGAAGTATCAATATCTCTTTAACTAAAACATGTTTTATAATAATATATCTAATAATATAAGATACCTTTAATTTATAGTAAATATTTATTTTAAATGCAGGCCTATCACATAAATGAAAGGATTCATTGATGAATTTAAGAACTGAAATTGGAAGGACAAAGAGATGGCCAAACTTAGAAAAGAGATGTCGGTGCAATTTAAACCGGAACATTATTCGGTAATTGGGTCATATCTGGAGTTGTAGATCTCAGATTTAGGTCTACTTTATATGGATGGAAAGGTAAGACATAGGCCTACAGCTTTTATATTGAGCGTAAGATCTAAAAAGGTCATTTTCAAGTCCAAATTATAGCAACAACAAAGAAGTCTGAATCTGTCTTCCAGCCCGAGCACTGTTTAATATTTGGCCTATTTTCTACTACTTTCAAGTCTAGAAGTCCAAATGAGCTGAATTTTTTGAACAAGAAAGCTGAGATGATTTT